TAGCGGGGAACCGGGAAAGCGGGGAACCGAGGAAAGTGGGAAACGGGAAAGTGGGAAACGGGAAAGTGGGAAAACGGGAGAGTGGGAAACGGGAAACGGGAAAACGGGAAAGTGGGGAAATGGGAGAATGGGAAACGGGAAAGTGGGGAAATGGGAAAGTGGGGAAATGGGGAACGGAAAAGGGAAACGGGAAAGTGGGAAACGGGAAAGTGGGGAAACGGGAAAGTGGGGAAACGGGAAAGTGGGAAAACGGGAAAGTGGGAAAACGGGGAAGTGGGAAAACGGGAAAAGGAAAAACGGGAAAGTGGGAAAAAGGGAAAACGAGAAAGCGGGACAGTGGGAAAACGAGAAAGTGGGAAAACGGGAAAGCGGGGAAACGGGAAAGCGGGGAAACAGGGAAGCGGGGAAACGGGCAAGCGGGGAAACGGGAAAGCGGGGAAACGGGAAAGCGGGGAAACGGGAAAGCGGGAAAAGCGGGGGAACGGGAAAGCGGGGAAACGGGAAAGCGGGAACGGGAAAGCGGGGAAGCGGGAGAGCAGGGAAACGGGACGCTCACCAAGAGCACGCGCGACCAAAGCAAGCGCACCCGGAGACAGCGCACTCGGAGCCAGCGCACGCGGAGCCAGCGCACTCGGCGTTAGCGCACTCGGAGCCAGCGCACTCGGAGCTAGCGCATGTGTAGTGAGTCTAGCGATACCGAGTCGCCGCGAAGCGGCGACCGGGAGCGCTAGTTTTCAATAAATATCTGTGGAGTGCGTAGCGCATAGGTACGTCTCGGCGCAGCGCCACTTTCCAGCTGTTTTCCAGTACCGGCTGGCGGATGGTCAGCTGATGCCTCACCTGGGTTGAACACCGCTGCAGAGTCAGTCGCAGCGACGCGGCGGCAATCAGCGATACTGACTGTCGCAGTATCAGATCTTATCGCCACCAGAGTATCCTTCCGAAGACTCTCGACGGAAGCCGTTCCTCGACAGTATATCTCCGGGTTCAAGCCCCGTTATCAATTCAAATCATCATAGTGATAGTGTGGAGGGCGTTCCAGTCCACCCCGTCCGCATCTTCATCCTCAGAGGAGCCCCGTTCAATCCAGGGTCCCAATTATCATCAACTTTATTTGCGCATCGTGCTCCACGTGTGATCCCGATCAGTTCAAGTCTGTTCTTTTCACTCCCCTGCGGTTCAAACCCGTAATGTGGTAGCGCGTAAGCCACAATTTGGTGCCGAAACTTTTCAAGAATCAGCTACCGTCAGAAGTCAGTCTTCCAGTCGGTATGGATATAAGCCGAGACCATTATCTCCAGATTATCAACTCGATAAGGCAAGAATATTCGTGAATCATCGGATAAGTCCGTTCCATCATTGGAGCAGCTTAGACGACCCAATCAACGCTCCTGTCTCAGAAGTGAATAGTGGATCGTAATTCGTGATCCGATTGCGCTGAGCTTCCGTCGCGGCTAGGCCTAGCACGGAGGCGAAGGCTACCAACTTCGGGACCATTACCCCGTAGCCAACGCGACAAGATGAGCGACGAAGAACACCCAGCCGAGCCTACAGACACAGCTCACAGCGGCGCTCCACCGCCTCTTCCAGAAGTACTTTCAGAATCATTCAGAGTGATGCGAAGCCCAAACGACATAGACAGTTTCATGGAAGACGGAGTCGAGCTTTCCGCCGAGACGATCCGTGCCTTCCGTGTACTTCAACAAGAACAGGCCACGGACGGACAGAGAGCAAGTAACCAAGAAATATCGGGAAGTATTTCACGACAGCTACTCAAACCACCACCCTTCGCACCTTCGAGAGCGACTTCTCCACTCCCAGAAGCTGGCACGGCAAACACCGCCATAGGTGCTGGGGTTGTGGCCCCACCGTCAACAATCGAAGTTTGGAACACCGACCCGGCAGTCCGCACAAAGGCGTTCGGCGCCGCCTCGATCGGAGCCGAACCAAGCCAGTCGGATCCAGGAAGGCAAATATCGCAGACGTTTAGCTCATCGATTCCGAGCCCCACCGCTGACAACTGTCTCAAATACCTAAAAGCCAGGATTAAGTTCTTCGTCAACAAGGCAGTATCCTTCTTCAAATAAGAAAATGATATGAGGGAAGCCCTGTCCACGGTCGACGACCTCGGACCTACCCTATCAAATCTTCTGGACGAGTGGTTACGAGAATCAAATAACCACATCAGGTCAACTCCGGAAAAGGATCACGCTATCCTATTCGAAGAATGCATAACCGTCGAAAACGAATTGCGAGACTCCCAGAAATATCTCAGAAAACTACGACATTTTCTGGTCGACTGTCTGCAACCGTCAAACATCGACTCCACATTCGACAGAGCTCAGAATCCCAACGGTGCTCCAGCCGCGACCCAAGGCCGCTTAACGACACCGCCGGCCCCAAACCACGGGCGCGAGGCAGACTGGAGAACATCGACGCCGGTCATCGACCAAATCAGGGGTGGGACTAGCGGCCACGGTATCTCAGCGGGGACGTCTACCCCCAACATATCCCACATCGCCCAAATACCGCCTCCATCGGAGAGCGCGCCGAGTCTCCCATCCCAAAACCGGATCATAACCCCAGAAGATCCAGGACAGCAAGTTCCCCCAGTAGAGCAGATGCTCACGTGTAAAACCAACAATAGCAACTCTTTAGAAAAGCCCGAGAATTACCTACCGAAACTTTCAAAAAACTTCAAATTACCCAAATTCAATGGTGACCCGAAGCAAT